CTCGAACCCGTGGGCTCAGGCAATCCACTCACCTCAGCCTCCCAAAGGCGTGGGATTACAGGCTGAGCCACCGAGCCCGGCTACTTTTGCACTTCTTTAACAGTTTTCGAAATGTGAGGTTTTGACATTTGCTTGAATATCCTTTTATTTTTGGACTTGGCACCTTTCTACTTAAGAAATCATGTCCTTCGTGACTTTTGCTATTGCCTGTGTTATTTAGACTGAGTCCTGGCAGGAAAAGGATGACACGCTCAAGGGGTTCTTTGGGGAGGGTGTAAGAAAAGGGTATTTGCTGAGGAGTAGGCAAAAAGTAAGAGCCGGTGAAATCCCCAGGGACTAGTCTGATGGGATGCTGTTATCACTCAGAGGCCCAAAGGGGTAAAGGGAGGGAATGGTTTTAGCAGAACCTGGGGAAAAGCTTGGGGCCGTGGAAGAGGGCCCACCCAACAGAAGTTATAACCACAGAATGCAGCTACTGTCAAACCACGCTGATGTGGAAAGTGGGCAGGGGGAATAAACGTCGAGGCAACCTCTCTCACCTTTTGCCCTCGGATCTCCTGCCTCTTCCTCCTGTTGGCTAAGTCCAATCAGAGACCAAAAGACAGGGGAGCAAGGGAGCCCCACTGAAACAGTTTATGGAGATCAAAACTTCTCAGGATGCAGAGAAGGACAAAGATGGTTCCAACCAAGAGAGGTGGGCACATGGAGAAAACCCAATACACTGCCTTTATGTGGCCACCCATGCTCAGGATAAGTGTATGCACTTCAGCATGCCAGAAAAAAACCAGGGTGATCAGACCCTTGTCTATCTGTCCAGCCTCAGTTCTCACCACCCTCACTCCTCTCCTCAACCCATTCCGATACCATGCACTCAGAGTAGTTCCCCAAGAGCTCTTAATTGCTGTTTCCTGTGCTTGAAACACCCCTTTCATTCTCACCCTTTGTATTCAAGTTAAACATCATCTTTTCTTACAACAGCTAAGTGCAACGGGTGAACCTGGAGTGGATCCTGGACCATCATGTGATGATGATGATAACTACTTTCTATAAATGACATTATTAGGAAAATTGGTAGTTTTTTGTTTGTTTGTTTGTTTGTTTGTTTTAAGTCAGGGTCTCACTCTGTTGCCCAGGCTAGAGCACAGTAGTGTGATCATGGCTCACCACAGGCTCATATTTCTGGGCTAAAGTGATCCAACTGTCTCAGCCTCTCAAGTAGCTGGGACTACAGGCACATGCCACAATACTGTTTAATATTAAAATTTTTTGAAGAGATGATAATCTCGCTATGTTGCCCAGGCTGGTCTCAGACTCCTGGCCTCAAGTGATCCTCTCGCCTCAGCCTCCCAAAGTGCTGAGATGACAGGTGTAAGCCATCATGCCTGGCCTGGGAAAATTGGTAGAATTTTAATAAGGCCTGTAGATTAGATAATGGTACTATACCAATGTTGATTTCTTCATTTGGATAGTTGTTCTGTGGTTATTTATGAAAAAGCCCCTCACTCTTGTTAAATCTAGACTGGAGTCTTTAGAAGTAAAGGGGCACCATGTCTGCAACTATTCTCAGGAAGAGAGTTATGTATATGTGTGTCTGTGTATGGATATAAAGATGTAGATACATAGAGAAAAATAAAGGAGACAGAATAATTAAGTAAACAAAATGTGATAAAATGATTAGGTGAAGGTTATGTGATAATCCTTTGCAGTATTTTTGCAAATTTTCATAAATCTGAAATTATTTTAAAATAAGAAGTTAAGAAAATAACTTTCTTTGAAAAGCCTTCCCAGGCCCCTCAGACTAAGTTCTGTGTTCTCCCATAAAGATCATAGCACCTCTGCCGGGCTCGGTGGCTCAGCCTGTAATCCCGCGCCTTTGGGAGGCTGAGGTGAGTGGATTGCCTGAGCCCGCAGGTTCGAGACCCGCCTGGACAGTGAGACCTCATCTCTACAATAAATCAGAAAAAACCAGCCGGGCGTGATAGCGCATGCCTGTAATTCCGGCTACTTGGAAGGCTGAGGCGGAAGGATCGCCGGAACCCGGCAGGTTGAGGCTGCGGTGGCCGGGAGTGGCCACTGCATTCCAATCTGGGCGACAGAGTGAGACTCCAACTCAAAAAAAAAAAAAGATCATAGCACCTCACACACACAGTACTTTAACTGTCTACTTATAGATTTTTTTCCCCCTTCACTACATGGTTGGCATAAGCATGCATGTTTAACCACTTGGTGGGCTAGGGGAAGCCCACTCATGTGATTCCAATAAGATGGCACACCATTCCCTCATGCCAGAGTGTCAAGGAAGTGGGTGAATAATAATGTCTAAAACTAGATTTGAGAACATAGCCACGTAGAGGAGGCAGCATGCTAGCTAGATCTGAACGCTTGATTACTTCCAAGGTGTGCCAAAGGCACAGACATACTCAGCAAAAATCAGACAAAAAAACTGATGCGTGTGCAGCAAATGGTGGAAATGCTACACCAAGGTTCCATGTTGATTCTGCAGTTCTACACAGTGGATTGAATGATGGAGGAACAACAATATGAATAGATCATGCAACATCATTGAATGCACTGTGTATTTCAATGTAATGCCATACAATTAATACTGATTAATATATTCCTATATTTCCAGATGCTATGGCCATCCTGTGAAATATAAGCTCCTTGGAAGTCTGAGATTATTTCTCATTTGCTGTTGTATCTCTACTGCCTGTAGCAGTTATGTCTCTTATTTTAATTTTCATTCGAATTTATTTTATTGAAATCCCAGTTCGGCTATTGATTAGCTGTGGGATTTGGACAAGTTACTTAATCTCCCTATATCTTGGTTTCCTCATATACAAAACCAGAATAATAATTAGGCTGCCTCACAAAGTTGTTATCAGAATTGAGTTTGTTTTAGTAAAACACTTAAAACAGTTTCTATCATCTAGTAGGCACTATGTAGTTGTTTTTAAAAAATAAATAGATAGGACTCAGTGGCTCAGCCTGTAATTCCAGCACTTTGGGAGGCCAAGGTGAGTGGATTGCCTTAGCCCGCAGGTTCAAGACCAGCCCAGGCAACTTGGCGAGACCTCATCTCTACAATAAATCAAAAAATTAGCTGGGCGTGGTAGCACACACCTGAAGTTCTGGCTACTTGGAAGGCTGAAGCAGAAGGATCACGGGAGCCCAGCAAGTCGATGCTGGGGTGGCCGTGAGCGTGCCACTGCACTACAGCCTGGGTGACGACAGAGTGAGCCTCAACTAAATAAATGAATAAATAAATAGATTTACATCACTTCTATACACAGACACTTGGGAAATGATTTAAAGTTTCTGTCCTTTTAGAATAGGTTTGACATCCCAGCCTTAGGATTGTGTTTTCTAAAACCTTGCCTTTAAGAACCCAGTCCATTCCCCCAAAGGAGAGAGGACAAGACACCCTCCATCTTTTTTGCAACATCTCTTCTCTTCCTTTTGCTGTAGCCTTCCCCAACCCACCCTTGGTTTTGTCCTATCCTATACTTCAGATTTCTATTTTGTGTTGAACTTGCTGCTTTTTTCATACTGAAAAGATGACATTGCCCCAAGAGCCTAAAATAAATGGGAATTGAAAAGAAAAGAAAAAAAAGAACCCAGTCCCTAGAAACTCCAGAGCATCCAATAGGCATAAGAGACTCACTGTCAGTACAAGAGGTAGAAACACTCACAGTCAAAAGCAAAAGCTCTGATGTGTGTTGTCTGAACATCCTGAGGCTCTCGAAACATCTAAAATAACTCAGAGTTCTAGATTGCCAGTCTGTGCCCTGGCAATGGTCAGTGGGCTACTGAGCCCCTCAGCCACTTCCACTACGTGGAGATCAGTGTTTGTTGCTCTCTAAAGCACCCCCTTTATGAATGAATGTCTTAGATTGCTCTAAAATAATCTGGGCTGGGAGTAAGAGGGAAAGTGTAGGGATTATGAGCTATACGTGATTAAGACTTGAAGCTGCTTGATAGCATCTAGGGGTTCTTTCTACTTTTGTGTGTATTTGGAAATTCTCATAGTTAAGGTTTTTAAATACTTTTTTTTTAAGGACAAACACTGAAGTAAAGCTTGAAGGAGGCTAGTGTTTGTGCAGAAGCAATTCTTTGGACTAAAATAAAATACCAGTTCCCAGTATCTGGTAACAGTAAATAAAGTTTATTGGATGACTGAATGAGTAATGAATGAGTGCCATGCTCTAGCTGATTTCATTCACATGGCATGAACATTTAGTTATTAATTTTGTTTGTGTTTCTTTCTGCTATAGAGAATCCAACAGCTCCTTCTTCTACAAGCCCTGGAGGTAAGCCTGTCATTTGAGATTTAGGTTAATGGGGGCTGTTTCATAGGTCCAGAACCATATGTCTTTTCAATTAGATTGTTCAACAGAAAGACCACTGGTGTTAGCCCAGACAGTTAGGACAGGTATATGCCACACCCAGCTACAACAACTAGTTCATTCATCCCACTCTCTAATGTTGTCTATTCCTCTCAAAACTGAAAACAGTTTACAAATACAGTTTGCTATTATTGACAGTATGAAAGGAATATTTAAATCTAATAAGACCAAAAAAATGAGCCAAACTGATCATTGATGGCCCTAGGAGTGAGTCATCAACCCTTCCCCATGGTAACTCGCTCGGTGTCAACTGCTTGTTGGTCGTTTCAGTACCTAATCCTTGGCAGCAAGGATCTCACTGAAAAGAAAACAATTGAAACCTCTAGAACAGCACATTCAACTCTTTGCTCTTCTATGTTTATAGATGGCATTGGTCAAGTTGCTCCTGCTTTTTTGCATCCCATTTTGAACATGGCATGACCTCAGAGAATCCCTGGATTTTAATGCCTTTCTCCAAGTTCTCAAGTCCATGTGTCTCTCTCCAGGTGAGGGAACAGAGCCAGCAATACCCATACTTCCAGAAGAAACACAGGAAGAAGATGCCAAAAAAACATTTAAAGAAAGTAGAGGTATGTACAAAACTGTTCTGGGAAAAATAATGAGATGATGAGACTCCCTTGATCACAAATTACCCACGGTTAAATGTCCTACTTTGTTCTTTCCCGTAGCTACCTAAAAATGGAACTAGACATCTGTGACTTTCCAAACACTGTGCTAAATGTTGGGTTTCATCAGTGAACTATGCAAATGGAGCTATCCTAAGACACTTGGGGAGATTAGACTAGACAGGAGGCAAAAAACCTGCATGAAGATGGAACCCTAGGAGCTGCCAGAGGAGAACTAAAGAGTGGACGCAGGGAGATAAGAATAGAAAGACCCAAGCCATGGTGTATAACATCTGTGAGCAATATTCATCTGCAAAACAAATAGAGGAATTGGGCAAAAACATTTTAAAAGTTAGACCATAAAAGGTAAAATAAAATGGAGTAACACATTGGAGTATTAATGGACTTTAAGCCCCACTGCCGTCCTGAATTTCAGGAAGGAAATCTGAGTTTTTGTCACTGGGCAACTTTTTTTTTTTTTTTTGAGTTGGAGTCTCACTCCATCTCTCAGGCTGGAGTGCAGTGGTATGCTCACCGCCCCCAGCCTCCACCTGCTGGACTCAGGCAATCCTTCTGCCTCAGCCTTCCAAGTAGCTGGAACTACAGGTGGGTGCTACCACGCCCAGCTATTTTTTTTTATTTATTGTAGAGATAAGGTCTCACCAAGTTGCCCAGGCTATTCTTGAACCCATGACTGGGCAATTTTTACAAAACCACTTTACTACTTCGGTGCTTCAGCATTTTCATTGCATAATGGGAGTAACAAATTTTTCTTACCTACCTGAGGGCATTACTGTGTCCATAAAATGAAATAGGATATTGCAATTGTGCAATTCAATTCTGACAGGAACCACTGTAGTTAGTGCAGACCCTACAACTTAAGGACACAACTCATAACAAGACTGCCTTTACATCGGCTGCAAAATTTGGGGGTCTCCAGGTCACCCATACTCTGACCAACTTGCTACAAATCCAGGGATTCCCATGACTCCACTCCCCACTCCCTCAGATTTGATAATTCATCAGAACAACCTACAGAACTCAGGAAAACACTACTTATGACTACATTTTATTGTGTAGGATACAAATCAGGAACAGCCAAATGAAGAGACACATAGGGTCTGGGAGGTTTTCATGTGCGGAGCTTCTATGTCCTTCCCCATGGAATCAGGATACATCATCATCTTCCTGCAACATCAACAGTGTTCACCAAGCAGGAAGCTCCACTGAGCTTTGGTGTCCAGAGGTTTTATTGAGGTCTCATTACATAGGCATGATTGGTTAGATCACTGGCCCTATGGTGAAACTCAATCTCCAGAGGAAGTCAGACTGATATCACCCAGCCCAACCCCTCAACTCTGTAGTCACATGGTTGGTCTTTCTGGCATGGCCAACCCCCATCCTAAGACATGACCTTACAATAAACTCTGGTATGGTCTGAGAGGCTCATGAGTAAAAAAGTCACTCCTATTACTTGGGAAATTCCAAGGATTTAGAGCCTCCCTCCCACCCAGGAATCAGGGACAAAGGCCAGTCAACTTTTTTATTATATGACAGATATAATGTATGAAAATGCTTTGAAAAAAGTACAAAGTACTGTGCAAAGGTGGGTGGCATTTCTACTGTTCATTGTTACTATGGTGGTATGTAAAGTGGGTTTGAAGAGTTTGCTTTTTATTTATTTCTATTTTTTATTTTTTTTTTATGTTTGAGTTGGAGTCTCACTCTGTCGCCCAAACTGGAATGCAGTGGCATGCTCCCAGCCACTGCAGCCTCGACCCGCTGGGCTCCGGCGATCCTTCCGCCTCAGCCTTCCAAGTAGCTGGAACTACAGGCGCGTGCTACCACACCTGGCTAATTTTTGATTTATTGTAGATATGAGGGCTCGCCAAGTTGCCCAGGCGGGTCTCAAACCCACGGGCTCAGGCAATTCACTCACCTCAGCCTCCCAAAGCATGAGATTACAGGCTGAGCCACCGGGCCCAGCTTGCTTTTTATTTTTTGATGATTGTCAGGTTTGTAGTCTCATGGAGGTGGGGGAGAAGCAACAGCCTCTGGATGGCCAGGAAACTTGGATCAGTGAGAGTAGGAAGGGGATTAGTCTTCAATCCTTGATTCCTCCCACAGTCCCCTGAGGGAAAAATCTTTGGTCTAATTATTATAGGACTAGCAAGTTCAGAAAAGCAGACCTTTAAGTGCTCTTCACAGTCATGGCTCATGGAATCTAGTTGGTGTTCAGAAATGTTGGGAAGGTTTTACAGTCTAATTCATGTGCTTCATGTGACCTTCTTTTTCCTGGTATAACACTGAGTGTTCTGGCTTGCTTTATTCTCCTCTCCCTCCCTAACCCTACCTTTGGAACTACCATGGCTGTCCTTAGAGACAAAGTCATCAACAACTGCCCCAGTAGCCTCTGCTTTGCCAAGTAAGAAGAACACGAAGCTGGGCTCGGTGGTTCAGCCTGTAATCCCAGCGCTTTGGGAGGCTGAGGTGAGTGGATTGCCTGAGCTTGCGGGTTTGAGACCCGCCTGGGCAATTTGGCGAGACCTCATCTCTACAATAAATCAAAAATTAGCCGGGCGTGGTAGCACACACCTGTAGTTCCAGCTACTTGGAAGGCTGAGGCGGAAGGATCACCGGAGCCCAGCAGGTCAAGGGTGCGGTGGCCGGGAGCGTGCCACTGCACACCAGTCTGGGCGACTGAGTGAGACTCCAACTCAAAAAAAAAAAAAAAAGAACAAGAAAAGAGGGAATCTCTTTTCTCTGGGGGAAAAAAATTTGTTTTAATTAACAAAAGTACCCTTCATATATTTGCAAGAGGCTCAAAAATGTAAACTCATTTCCATTATTACTAAGGATCATAGAACAGGTAGAAATGTTCGTTTGTTGAAACTAGAAGACCCTTTGCTAACTGGCTATGTATCTACCTCCTTCTAGGAATATGCTCTGTGGAATACTCTGCGCTAATCATGCTGTCTTAAGCCTGGTTTAAAGCACTCCCCTCCCCACAAAAAAATCACCAATGCTGACGATGTGCTTTTGTCTTTCCAGAAGCGGCCTTGAATCTTGCCTACGTCCTGATCCCCAGCATTCCCCTTCTCCTCCTCCTTGTGGTCACCACAGTTGTATGCTGGGTTTGGATCTGTCGGAGAAGGCAAGTCACACCTCCGTCATGTAAACTTTTGCATCTTCTGCACTCTCTGAGATTTGAATGTCGCCCAGTTTATTTCATTAAAAGCCATGACAGCTCCAAGAAGGTCACCATTGCAGATTTGAGAGTAGATTCTCTGACAGGCTAAAGCATTCAGCTGTACCAAGCAGTTGTGCTTCGCTGTGATTAAGAAATGATCTTAGCCGGGCTTGGTGGCTCAGCCTGTAATCCTGTGCCTTTGGAAGGCTGAGGTGAGTGGATTGCCTGAGCCCACGGGTTCGAGACCCGCCTGGGCAGGCGAGACCTCATCTCTACAATAAATTTAAAAAATTAGCCAGGCGTGGTAGCGTGCGCCTGTAATTCCGGCTACTAGGAAGGCTGAGGCAGAAGGATCGCCAGAGCCCAACAGGGCAAGGCCGCATTGGCCAGGAACAGCCACTGCACTCCAGTCTGGGTGACAGAGTGAGACTCCAACTCAAAAGAAAAAAAAAGAAAGAAAGAAAATGATCTTATAATCTTTATTTTGTGTTTGTGGACGATTTTAAGCAACTTGAAGGGTGCAACTGTGCCACCCACCTCTACACGTTACGCAGCAAAAGTGCCCTCTCATGAATGCATGTCCTCACTCCGAGAGTGTCTGTGAGTAAAGGAACGAATGTATAGTGAGCCACATGAAAATGACTGTTCCAAAGCTTTCTGGTATACATCTGAAACTAAAGCACTTAATTCAAAATCAAAAAGCCAAATTCCTTTTAACTAACCTTTCTTTTAACACAATGCACAAGTATGGAGTGCTGCACAGTAGCAACACTGGATGGCCTAGACAGCCTCTGATTATGGTCAGAATCATGCACCACCAGTTGTGTGTGTGTGTGTGTGTGTGTGTGTTCCCCAGAAGTCTTCTCAGTTACCTTTTAATTCTTGATCATCATGGTACGCAGAGAAGTCTAGCGTTCCCATTTTACAAAAGGAAAACAAAGGTCCAGTTTAAGATTTGACCCCCTTTAAAGACCCATTTAAGATGAATAAGTAAGATTCCAGTGTTGAACCTATTTCATTTAATAATAACTTCCTTATAGGATTATTATAAGGATTAAAGCAGTTAATAATGCAGAGTTGGCATATATTAAGCACTCAAAAACGTTAGCTGTTATGGTCTTTTTTATTGGTTACTTCCTTTGAATCTAAAAGTTGAATTCAGTTCAAACAATCACAAGCATGTTTTCCAACTGCCTACCCTGCTATTGGTTCTTGATCTCTCTTCCTGAGTCTACCTTGCACCTCTCCAGGATTTGGGGATTGCAACTCTAAAGCTGGGCTCTGTATATCCTGAGGGATTTTAACCTTTTTTGTTCCACACACCCCTGTAGCAGTCTGGGGAAGCCTATAGACCCCTTCCAGAGCCATATTTTGTATGTATACAATAAACTACATGGGCCAGGTGTGGTGGCTCATGCCTGTAATCCCAGCAATTTGGGAGGCAGAGGCAAGAAGATTGCCTGAGCCCAGGGGTTCGAGACCAACCTGGGTAACCTGGCGAGACCTCGTCTCTGCAATAAATACAAAGAAAAAAAATTAGCTGGGCATGGTAGCATATGCCTGTGGTTCCAGCTACCTGGAAGGCTAAGGCAGAAGGATCACCTGAGTCCAGCAGGTCAAGGCTGCGGTGGCCTTGAGTGTGCCACTGCACTTTAGCCTGGGCGACAGAGTGAAATTTCAACTCAAGAGGAAAAAAAGTAATTAAATAAATATAATAAAATATGTTGGGTTGCAAAGGAAGCAATTATACTGTTATATAGTTTAGCAAAATATTTCCAAAAATGAATATGTGAGTCAGTAATAGATGTGATTCTTTACTAATGCTTCTTTATTTAGTGGTGGGTATAATTATTATAATTTTGAAGTAGAGATAAGGGTAAAATATTTCAAGGCATCTATAATAACTGTTGTGTGATATGAAAATATCTATAATTTCTGGTTATCGAGTCAAAGATATTATTAGTTCTACTCTGGTTCACTGCCTACATTCATAATGGAAGAACATGCTAAGTTGTACACAGAGATGAGTTTTGCAAAATGTGATATGTTTTCCCATTCAGGTCTGTCTCTGGACCCTCTGGGGACTCTGGGGATACTAGGATAATAACCCTGTCCACACTCTGGCAGCAGTCGTTATATACACAATCACTTTGTATATAACGACTCACCCTGGTTGGTTCCCCCAACCCACCCCAAAGTCCTGGCCTGAAAGTTACATAGGATTGTTTTCTCCCATCTGAACAAGAAACACAGGAGTGTTCTCAATCACCTGGTTTAAAATACTCAGCCCTGATTTTCTTTCATCCTAGAAAATGCGAGCAGTCGGACCCCAGCACAAAGCAGCAACACACCATCTGGCCCTCTCCCCACCAAGAGAACAGTCCAGACCTCGAGGTTTACAACGTCATAAGAAAACAAAGTGAAGCTGATTTAGCTGAGACCCGGCCAGACCTGAAGAATATTTCATTCCGGGTGTGTTCCGGAGAAGCCACTCCCGATGACATGTCTTGTGACTATGACAACATGGCCGTGAACCCATCAGAAAGTGGGTTCGTGACTCTGGTGAGCGTGGAGAGTGGATTTGTGACTAATGACATTTATGAGTTCTCCCCAGACCAAGTGGGAAAGAGCAAGGAGTCTGGATGGGTGGAAAATGAAATATATGGTTATTAGATGCATGGAAGAAAAAAAAACTTGGATAGATAAGAATGGGAAATAAATAAGTACAATTCTCCTATTTTCTATAAGGAAAATACTCAGAAGGCCTCTGAATTTGCTCAGATCAGGTCCTGTGGGTGAGCATGTGATCCCTATCCCCCTACTGGGTCCCCAAGTTCTGTGTATCCTTTACCCCAGCCTCTCACCCAGCTTGAAATGAGAAGGCACCTTGCCCGGGTTTGGCATATGGAAGAGTCTCAATAAATGTCATTTGATTGGTTATATCTGACTTTCAAGGGGCAGAGCTTTACTGGCAGGGGTAAGAATTGGCTGTGGAGCTTGGAAAACCCATTGCTAGGTTCTGTTTTCTTTGCTCTATGCAGTTCCACACAGAGACAGAAATGACACAATCTTTTCAAGGCCCGTATGCTAGTATCACCAGGCTGGCCTGCACATCAGCAATTCTCGTAGCTTTTTTTTTTTCCTCAAAGAATAAAATCAAATAAAAAGCAGGAAGCAGAATGTTAGTCAGTCTATATCTCCAGCCCTTCCTCTGTGTGTGGCCTCAGGGGACCTTTTTTTTTTTTTTTCTCCTAACATCCAAACTTGGAAATATCCAACTTGGAAATACTTTGGAAATGAAAAATGAGATTTGAGTCTCCACTTCTAAGCTAATTTGTGTTCCCAGTTCCGTACATGTCATTCTGTTTGTCAGTTTGTTTTACTGCAGCATCAACATAAAATTACTAATAATGATCATAATTCAACCTTTTATTTTAGGGATCTATTTCAAATAAAATTTTGGTCTCAGGTCCAGAGAAAAGTTTCTCGGCCCAACATCAGTCATGTACACTTTGAAGGGCTGAAAGCTATTATCTACATCACCAGCAACCTTTTTCAATCAGCTTAATAATTTATTATTTTCGTCTTTCTTCATACATCTTATTTTTGAATACCAACTCTGTCTCACAAGTAGATCCCAATCTAGACAAAGCTTACTAGTCTGGGTCAGAGTGTTACGACCTGATCTGACAAATTGTCTGCTATCCCTCACAGCCAATTAAGATGCAAAAGCAGAGACTGGGAGAAAGGAATTGTTTTTTTTTTTTGTTTTTTTTTTGAGTTGGAATCTCACTCTGTTGCCCAGGCTGGAGTGCAGTGGCACACTCACAGCTACCCCAGCGTTGACCTACTGGACTCTGGGGATCCTTCCACCTCAGCCTTCCAAGTAGTCGAAACTATAAGCACATGCTACAGCGCCCGGCTAATTTTTGATTTATTATAGAGACGAGGTCTCGCCAAGTTGCCAGGGCTGGTCTCGAACCCATGAGCTCAGGCAATCCACTCGCCTTGGCCTCCCAAAGTGCTGGTATTAAAGGCTGAGCCATGTAATTCCGCTCTTTGGGAGGCCGACGTGAGTGGATTGCCTGAGCCCACGGAGTTCAAGACCCACCTGGGCAACTTGGCGAGACCTCATCTTTACAATAAATCAAAAATTACCCGGGCATGGTAACAAGCGCCTGTAGGTCCAGCTACTTGGAAGGCTGAAGCAGAAGGATCACCGGAGCCCAGCAGGTGAGGCTGTGGTGGCCAGGAGCGGCCGCTGCACTCCAGTCTGGGCAACAGAGTGAGACCCCCCCTTAAAAAAAAAAAAAAAGGCTGAGCCACCGAGACCGGCCTGTTTTATTTCTAAAATCAGGTTATAGGGAGACAGGTCGGCAGCATTACCAAAAAGCCACTCAAAGCAACACAAATTCATTCCAGTATTTATACTCACAATTCCTAGCCCTTTACCCACCCTGAGTTTGAAGCCTACATGCAGTTTGCCTACATGCAGTTTTTATACATGATCACTGATGTGACATAAAGTCTCCTGGTCATGTTGACATTTTAGATAACATTTTGGAATTTACAGTATGTTCTTTTGCAGTTTTTTTTAGAGGAAGGAGCAAACAATTGCAATATTTGGAAGGAAGGGAGAATCATAACATTTAAGACGATTAACGTTAAATTGTTTTATTTATCTCTAATTCCCAGAGCCCTGGCCTATAACAGTCCAATGTCCTTGTATTCACAGATGGAGGGGAGGTGGGCAATGCCCACTCCAATCTTTCAGACACATTCCTGTTGGCCTCGGTCCCCTCTCCTAATCATTAGGTGGTCTGGCTTGCCCGGCTATTTTTTTCAGCACCTGCAATGGCAACTAGATAAGACTGGGCAAGGCCTTGCTAGGAGAGAAGTGGGGGATGGGGAGGGGACTTGGGGGTGGGGAAATAGGAAAAATGTCCACTTTGGAATCAAAGTGGCTTTTACATTTAGCCCAATTCAGCTACCAAAGTATACACGTTTTTAAGTCTTTTCTAAATGACTGTTCTAATATAACCAAAATGGCCTCTTTTCGGCCTATAATAAGAGCAGTATAAAATGTAGTGGATTATAATCGCTGCCCAATGACCTGCCCTACTGAGGAAGTGAGTGCAGTGGGAAACAAAAACATCATTTCTGCCTGCTCCAGGAAGTATGTTTTGTAGTTACAACACTTCAAGCAAAAACAGTGAGCATGTGTTCTGAAGAACTGATGCACTGCTCTAAAATGTCCAGATACTAATATGTATAAAAGTTCCCATTTCGCTCCAGGTATCCTGGCTCTATAATCTGTCCCTTTAAACCTTCACTGTGCCACCTGACTCTGGCCCCTATTAGGCTGCAAATTCCATGAAGGGAGGGGTCCCACCTGTCTGTCATCATAGCACCTCCTACAACCCATGGCAGCGCCTGGCAGAGTAGACGATCGCTATCTACTGAATGGATAAACAGAACTTCAAGCACATCTTTCAGACTGAGGAAAAATAGCCTGAATATTTCATCTTAAAAGTGTGTAGGACCTGGTTTTCACAGCCCCCCTGGGTGAGGAGGTAATTGAGTAACTCCTACTGCCTAAGAGGAAGCATAGTAACAAGTAAACAGAAGCTGGTGAATTGTGTTAACAACTTACTTTAATTTTGTCATTCACACTTAAAATGAGGACCCATTCTAAATCAGGGAAGGGAGTGAGGTCATAATCAGAGTGGGTTCTCAGCATCTTCCCTTTGTCACTAGTGTGATATTTGTGCTGGAACCCACAGATCTCTTTCTTCCCTCTTTCTCTATATTCTGATTATTCCATTTCTTTTTTCCTCCTCAGATTTACTAGACTGAGTTTATCCAACTCCATTTCTGTCTCTAATAATTGCACTTCACTTATGTAACAAAAACTTGCTAAGTGTTAAAAGTGTTTTCTATGTTGATTTTGGACATCAACTTTATTCATTGAGCTAGCAACCTATGGGAATGTAGTCAGCCTGTTTCATCATTGCTATGATTAGGATGTTTGTCTCCTCTGAAACTCATGTGGAAATTTAATCCCCAGTGTGGCAGTATTGAGAGGTGTGGCCGTTAAGATGTGATTGGATCATGAGTGTTCTGCCCTCATGAATGCGTTGACCCATTCATGAATTAATAGGCTGATGGGTTAGTGGGTTGCCATGGGAGTGGAACTGGTGGCTCTAAAAGAGGAAGGGAGACCTCAGCTAGCAGGCATAGCCCCCTCCCATGTGATGCCCTGTACCACCTCCAGAGTCTGTGGAGTTCCCACCAGCAAGAAGGCCCTCACCAGATACAACACCTCGACCTTGGACTTCCCAGCCTCAGAACTATAAGAAATGAATTTCATTTCTTTGTAAATTACCCAGTGTCAGGTATTCTGTTATACACAACAGAAGACAGACTAAGACAATCATTTGAAACCATAGTTTCCAGCCTTTTTTTTTTTTTTTTACTATGACACACACAACAGTTGAAATGTGTATATCACATAAACCCTTGGGTCTCTCCACTTGACAAGCATTTCTTGTATACCCACCATGTGCCACACACTGTGTAGAAATGACACACAGCCAGATTTCAGGCTGCGGCTTGGAGAAGTCGGGTTGTAGGTTATGTGCATTTCCCAACACGGTAGCTGTAAGACTCTTCTGCTATTCATTCATTCACTTATTTGAAAAGTGTTAAACATACCTACTTCATGTCAGGAAATATGGTAGGGGCTAAACGTAAGACAGATGCAGGCTCCATCTCATAGGGTTTACATTCCACTACGGAAAAGAAGATACATCAGAACATAAGTAAGTGAGAGAGAATTTGCTATGATTTGTTTTTTTTAATTACATACAGCTCTTTCTATTATTCCTTCCCTTTCTCTTCTCTCCTCCTCCTTTCTGTTCCTGAATACTCGAGTCCTAAAGCCAAAGTTAGAAGAAGGTAGGCACCTGTGCCCGAGAAGGTGGTGGGGACTCAGTAGCTAGGAGTGGGGTATCAGACCTGAGTAGGGTGTGGAAGGTGTCCACACAGAAGAGAGGCCTTGTGCAGGAATGGCCTGGGTGGGTAAGGAGGCCATCCACCCAGGGGCTAGGCAGCAGTGACAACGGGATAGTTTTTGCATACAGGGGGATTGATGAGATAAGTAAGTGTTCTAAGGATAAGGAGGGCCAAGTTTCTCACTATCAGAGAAGGCAGATACAGATTATGGAATGGACTCTATGGTGTTAGTCTGAAATTAGAAACACCGGTGTCATTTCATGGTTTTCAATATTGAGTATATAAATATATGGGATATTTATATACTTGAAAACCATGAAACGACTCTGGTGTTTCTGTTACCCATATATGTCTATACTCAATATTGAAAACCATGAAACGACACCGGTGTTTCTAATTTCAGACTAACACACATATTAGAAACCGGTGTTTCTAATTTCAGACTAATGCACACACATATATCCTCTAGCTGGTGCTCAGATCTTGGCTTCTAAATCCTACTCTTCACTAAAATAAGTCAGGGCTTTTTGAAAAAATGGCTGATCCCAGAGCCAGAACAAGATTTTACAAGATTAGCTTGAAAAATTTTTTGCTGCCAAAAAGTAAAGATGGGTTCAAGAATGATGGAGATATGTCAGTGAATCACAGGAGCCAGCTTATAGTGGCGCACATTGACCAATGTGCAATATTTGAGTATCAAAAGAAATAATTATAGTGATTAATTATAACCCAGTAGATAAAACAGGAAATTATTAATCCACAGTGATGTAAAAGAATAAATGAATAAATTTATTCATGAGGAATGGGATATTTATGTAGTTTCAAAGTGTCTCCCCCATAAACTGTCCGTTAATCACAAAGGCAACACTACAGGCAGACAACTGTAATGTAACCTTAATCAAATGATCAACATAAATATCTTCAATAATAGGG